GGTTTAAGCAAAAAAGATATTTATTTTCTCATAATATACAAAGTCCGGAGATGGTGGACTCCACGATTGGCTGAGTCTGTGGCTCAGAAGTGTCACTGAGATGTAAGGAGCCTGGGTTTGCTGTTCTGCTGCTCTTTGAGTCGCACTGATCTCCTTCATAACTGTAGAGCGGCGTTAGAGGTTTCTAGTGTCGCGACGACAGTAATACACAGGAAATAACAGTGTTAAAATAAAGATCCATTATTGCTGAAACTGTAATAATACACAGGAGATAACAGTGTTAAAATAAAGATCCAGTATTGCAGAAACTGTAATAATACACAGGAGCTAAAGAAGCTCGGTAAAGTCTGAGGGCAGAAAGACACCGTCTCTTCTTAGTTCTCCTTAGAAGTGTGGAGGCCTTTCCCAGAAATGCTCCAGCAGCTCTTTCCTCAGACATTGTGGTCAAAATCCAATCACTCGATCAATAGCACGGGGAGCGCGATAAGCACAGCTGCTGAGGATTATCGGTGTTCGTACTCAGTGAGGCGTGGACACCCCACTCTCTCTGCAGGTGGTTCTGTCCGCGAAAGGGGAGGCGACGTCGGGTCTCGGGCTGACGGCGGGCCACTTGTGTAGTTTGGATCGAACTGTCTGACTCTGTGACAGAGTGTTGTCATCTTTAGTGTAACTTGTCTTATTCTTGTACGGCTGATTCCTAATCACTCTTTTTCCAATTTAAATGTATAGTAAGATTGGTAAGAGTTGAATGTCTTCAGGAAGAAATCACTCTAAAATAAACTCATTCTTAGGGGTGATTATGAGGGTTTGAGAACTAGGACTTAGTGTTCTGACCAAGAGATCCAGTACCTTTCAAAGTCTTGACCCGTTCAGGTGCGTGAAGGAGCTGTGTGTACAAGCAGTGCAGTGGGTGGGGTGGATTAATGCTTCAGATCTCAGTGGACGGCTGTCACGTGGCCCCTTCCAAATGTCGCCACTCACACTAATGCCAGCACTCAGGGTCAGCCCCTGCCCCCCCGGCTGTGCTTGAAGGGACGCACAGGGGTGCAGAGCCCATGGAGTCCTGCGGAGGACGGTGTGGGGAGGGGCTCCCGGGGCAGCAGAGTCCTCTCGTAGAGCCCGCACTAGACTTCAGGCCTTTATCCTGTGATGAAGCAGACCCTGTACGTGTGTAAAAACAACAACATAGGGCATTACAGGTGAGGTGTTACTAAGGTTTAGGGATCAGATCAGTTTTAAGTATGGGAAGTTCTAGATGGTTGGGATTTGTTATCTTTCAATACCACCAGTTTAAGCATCCTAACAGTATAGGATATAACCTTTTGTTTTTTAACTTTTTTTTTATAGCTTTATTGAGAAATAATTGACAAATTTGTAAGATGTTTAAAGTGTACGTCTTAGTGATTTGATTTACGTATATATTGTAAAAGGAGTCCCACCATCTAGGTAACTAACACATTCATCACCTCACATATTTACTTTTTTTGGTGGGAACATATAAGTTCTATTCTCTCTATGGTGTTATCACCTATAGTCACATATTACACATTAGATCCTCAGACCTTATTCATCTCATGAGTGAAAGTTTCTACCTCTCCCTATTCCCCCATCTCCAGGCAACCGCTTTCCTACTCTATTTCTACAGTTTGACTTTTTAAAAAATATTTCACATATTTTGCACATCTGATAAGGGGCTTATATTTGCACATCTGACAAGTGGTTAATATCCAAAATATATAAAGAAGCCTACAACTCAATAGCAAAAAAAAAAAAGCCAATCTGATGAAAAAATGGGCAGAGGATCCAGACGTTCTTCCGAAGAAGACACACGAATGCCAACACGTACATGAAAAGGTGCTGAGCATCACTAACCATCAGGGAGATGCAAAGCAAAGCCACAGTGAAATCCCCTCACACCTGGCAGAATGGCTCTCTTGTTATTTGAATGGCTCACAACAAATAACAAGTGTTGGAAAAGGTGTGGAGGAAAGGGAACCCTCCTGCGCTGTTGGTGGGAACGTAAATTGGTGCAGCCACTGTGCAGAACAGCAGGGAGGGCCTCAAAAAGTTAAAAATAGAGCTACCATATGACCCAGCAGTCCCACTTCTGGGTATTTATCCAAAGAAAATGAAAACAGGATCTCAAAGTTATCTGCACCCCGTGTTCACTTGCAGCATTATTTACAGTTGCCAAGATATGGGAACAACCTTTATTCACAATAGCCAAGATATGGAAACAACCTAAGCGTGCATCCACGGACAAGGGGTTAAAGGAGTTGTACGTGTGGGTGCCCAGGCTTGCATTGTTACTCAGGAACACGGGAACGTTACTCAGCCGTGAGAAGGAGGACAGTCCTGTCATCTGCAACAACGTGGGTGGACCTTGATCTCAGTATGCTAGACAGGAAGACAAAGTTTTTTTCTTTTTTAAAACTAAACCCGTTGAGTAGTACTTGCTGTCAGACCTGTGGGAACTGCGTGGCCTTAGCCATCTCACTGTGGCATACAACTTCTGTATTTTTTAGTTTCGTGTCTGCGTTTGGTGCCTCTTTGCTTTATTTGCTGTCATTGTCTCAGAGCCTTTTTTGTCCTGTCATACTTAACTCCAGCTACTCTTGTCACGTTGTGCTTTGATGATGGGTAGGAACCACCCAACGAGAGTAAAGCTGCAGGGCCCGAGTGAGGGAGAGAAGCTCAGTTTGGCTCCCAGAGGCCCTTTCTGCTGCTCTTTTGTCAGTTGTGTCTTCAGTGTCTTGAGTGTGGACCTGACCCTTGTTAGGTGAGAGTTTCATGGAGTTGAATAATTTATAAAGACTGTTAATAGCAGGGATTTAGTTGGTATCAGATGATTCTGTGGTACTTTTGATTCTGTTAAGACTATTTAACTTCAGGACTACGTAGAGCGCCACGTTGACGAAAAAGCAGTAGGTGGGCCGCCATGCCCTTCTTCGCACTAATGAGGCCCCACTGGTGCACCAGGCTGTCCTTTCCAGCTTAGACAGCTCCCTGGGCAGATACCTCCTGCCGGTGAAGGTAGAACTGTGGCTCGTGACCCTTGCCTTTCAGAGCGAGTGGAAGGCTCCTGGGTGCCTCCCTGGGGCTCAGCTAAGTCTCCGCTCAGCCATATATTCCCCCAGAGTTCCAACGTGGAGGCATGAAGTATAAATAAATAAAATGATAAAAACTTCCAAAGGTGACAGGGTTTTATTATAAAGTATCAAACCAGCATGAAGAATCTAAACCAAAATAAACTTCAAAAAATGCAGTTCTCCAACTCCCTCTCAAAGACTCTGGTGACAGTGACCAGCGTGCCTATGGAGCACACACTCAGAGGCACACCTGCTCACACACATCCCCCAAGAAGATTTAGGCTACAGTTATTCTTCACTGCTGAAGCCAGTGAGGAAAGATTAAGGTTGACTTGGTCTCCAAGTTACTAAGACTCAGGTGATGCCAGCTTGGTATCCACGGCTCCCTTAGTCTCATCTCACCTTGTCTGTTACTCCCATGTTAAACCTTTTCTTCCCCTAATTAAGGAAAACTCCGTGGTGAGAGAGGTTAAGTGTAACAGGAGGGAACATGGGACCTCCTGGCCGAGGTGCCAGCCTCCGTGTCCAGATGCAGAGTTTCCAGGGGAGATCGTGGAGAGCTGTGTTTCGGACTTGTGTCCCTTGCCCTCTGGGGTAGAATGGGGACAAAGGAGCCAGTAGAGAAGAGGAGGGTGGGCGAGAGCTGCTGGAGGGTGTGACGGGCTTCCCGGCCACCCGGTCAGGGCCCCCGAGCCCAGGTGAGCACCTCCCTCTCCCTGGAGAGAGTGGGCTCCAGGCCTTTGCCAGTTGTGCCCAAGGGGACTGGTCACCTGCAAGGTGAAGGGCTCCAGCGGGCAGTGCTCGTGGGTGGAGGTGGGATGTTGTCCTTGGACAAGGCTGCCTAACTTCTTAAATGAGGCTGTGTCTGTGATAATGTGGCATTGGGACTCTCAGAGGAGTCATCAGACCTGCACACCTTTTCTTCCAGGCTGGGGATAATTTCTCCCACTGAATAAATTTTAGAGACAAAATAATTGTGTGTCCCATATGGGGGTGGGGAACAATTTTAGTCAGAGGGGAACGAGGTAAAAACGACCAGGATGTTTGCAGGAAACTGTGATCCCTTTGAAGTTGCTGGAGCTTCAGCTTCGAGGGTTAGGGTAGCAGAAATGAGTCCTGAGAGAGAAGCAGGTTTGGGAAGTGGAGGGACTTGACCGCAGAGCTTGGACTTCATTCTGCAGGCAGAGCGTGGGCACTGTAAGGGCTGCTCGCTCACAAGCCCTCAGTGGGCCGGGCCCTGCCCAGTTCAGTTTGCTCTCAGACACAACTTGCTCACCTCCAGTGTGGAGCCTGACACCTCTGGTAGGTACTTAATTCGTGTTTGAATGAATAGATAAATGAACTGATCGGGAAGTTGACCTTAAAAATGTGGGCAAGAAAGTGAGCTACAGATAAGGGAGTGTCAGGTAGTGTAAGCTTTTCTTGAAATTGATCTAGACATGGGCATAGAAACATGGATACTATATAGATCTGATTTTATCAGTAGGGGTCATCAGGCATCAGTGTGTCTTAAAGCAACTTTCATATAGGTCTTTAACAAAAACCACTGTAACAAGTTGATTTACTGTTTTTAATTTCAGTGTACCCAAAATTTGATTTTTATCTACTGAGTAGGAAATGATTTCATGTTTGGATAGATTTCATGAAGCATCAACTCAGCCTCTTTAAATCTTATATTCTTTTTTTGATGTAATTTCTGTATTTTAACTAATTTCCTATCTTACATATACAGTCAAAGGTTATATGACTCCAAAGCTGAGGTGTAGGAAGTATATTTTTTTACACACGCAAACGTAGGCTCCATGATGTATCATGTATCATTGTAATGGTTTGTATTCATGTTTATTACTGTTGGTTACATCTTTGTAGTAATAGCACTCAAAATATATCTTAAACCTTTTCCTCCCTCAGAGGTAAATTTCCGCAGAAGGACTTAGAAATGCTGTTCCCTGGAATGAGTGCTGATTTTACAAGTGAGAACTTTTCGGCTGCCTGGTACCTCATAGAGAACCACTCCAACACCAGGTTAGTGGGTGCTGGGCTGTGTTGTGTGGTTTCACGGGGTGCAGCTCATCAGACTTCAGGTAACGCGGGTTTCCCTCTGGCTTTGCTGCTTAGCAGCCCTTTGACCTCGGGTGAGCTTGTGAACATCTCAGAGTATCTGTTTCCTTACTTATAAAATGGGATCATTAATCAAGAGGACCCCTATTTCCTACTATCATGTTCTGTCTATATGTTTCGTTATTTATGCCACCCATTAAAACTTTGGAGTCTCAGCTGTGTCCTGTGTCTGAATGTGATCCCCCTCCCTACTCAAGTAACAGAATTCTCGAGTGCTGCTTTAAAACGAGGAACACGCCTCCTTCCCTGACCAGAGAGCAAAGGAAGATGAGTTATTTATCATTTTGCAAAGACTTGGCTTAAAATTAGCCAAAAAATAAACAAGGGTCATATATCCAATTAAAGTCCTCCTTTGTATCTGCTACGTATAGTTTACCCACCCTCTGTACAAGAGCAGATCTGTAACTTTTTCGCAAGACTGGCTTAAAACAGTTATATTTAGTAAAAATGTTTTAATAAATCAGTGGCTTATTGTTTAAAATTTGTGTTCTTGAAAAGCCAACTTGTTAAAATATACCTTAGGCGAAATCCTTCCCTCACCTATTGGGATGAAAACCATTATAGAAAACAGGAAAAGTTGGTATATACCTAGAGTAAATTTGGCCTGATAAATTTTTAGAGCAAATGCCTGTCACTTTCTTTGTGGAAGATGGTTCTGAGTTCACATTATAGATGTGCTTTTCTGTCACCATGTCAGGATTGATCTCTGTTCTCTGTGTAGGGCCATCTTGGCATTCAAGAATATAGTTAACATTTTATATAGCCAGATTTTCTTAGCTCAGGTGGAAATAAAACTTCTAAAATACAGAGAGCTGACTATTTTTTCTCTGCCTGAGATATAAAGATGAAATAGTGTGATCTGTTTAGTTATTTAAATTTTGAGTTGACCCCCAGGTTTTCTGTAATTTCACTGTTAATGGCGGGGCCTGGTCATGATGGGCTGAAGAGGACAGCGTGCGCAGCTTGTGTCCAGAGCATAGCAGTGGACGTCCAGGGGGTCCTTCTTAGTCCTGTCACCCAGCACTGCATGGTCCAGGTCTCCACATCTGGGAGACGCTCTTCAAAACTCCTTACCTGGCAAATCCTGTGTGTGATTTGGGTCGATTATAAGAATGTCTCCATGTGTATTTACTTCCCAGGGTTCTGACATATGAGGGCTACATATCTCCTTGTATAGCTGCTGTAACTTTGGTGTTCATAACATGTAAAGGTTTAGATCTAGGTAAGCATTTGAAGCTTGGTTTCATCTGATTACATATTGTGTCAGGCTGTGTCTTTCCAGGGTAGGCTCAGTATTTCACACTTGATGCATCATCTTCTTGTGGTTTCTTCATTTCACTTCAGTTTTGAACAGCTCAAAATGGCCGTCACCCACCTGAAGAGACAGGCTAACAAGAAGAGCGAGGGCAGCCTGGCATGCGTGAAAGGGGGACTCAGTACTTTCTTTGAGGCACAGGACGCCCTCTCAGGTAAGGTGACCCCCAGCCATCTGCTGGGGCTTCCCCGCGGACACCAGGCCCTGCACGTATGGAGTGTTTGCAGGCTGTGATGCTGAGGCTGTGTCCCTGGGAGCGGAGCTCTGCAGTGGCCACCAGTCAGTCTTTGCGGCCGGGCTGGAATCTCTTTGAAGGCTTGGTACCTTAAGTATTTGTCCCTGAGGCTTTGCTCACCCATCAGACACGTGTGAAGTAGGAGACCACTTTGCCTCCCCGCAGTGTCTGGTGTCCAGGGACAATAAGGAGTTAAATCCCAAGGGTAGAATTCTAGAATTTTAAAAATCCTTGTACAGCCATCAGTATCTTGCACATGGGACTAATTCTGTAGATGTGACCCATTGTGTGTTTGGTCTGGGAAGAACTGGTGATAACGTGTCCTTTCTTTGTAGCCATCGCCCCACCAGCCCCGCACGGTAGCTAACTCCCCCACCCACATACTCATCCTTACATGTGAAGGAAATGGTATTCAATAGAAATGGTGTGGCTTTAGACATTTCAAGGGAAGATGTTGGATAGGTTATTTTATTTTTTTTCTTTTTAACTACCTTTAATTAATAAAAATCAAATTGTTTATCTAGTAAAAAGTAAGATATATTAAAAAAAAAAGTTAGCCTAATTCTTTTTAAAAACAAAGACACCTGTAACTAAGTACCTGTATAGCTAAATACCTATAACCCAAACTGTAGACTAAGAGGCCACACCTTCTTCAATTCAGAAAGACTTAGTTTTTAAAATTAATTTGTATTGTTAAAGTTCGGACGTCCTATTATCTTTTTTAAAACCCTTCTCCTCCTGGGCCAGACACGCTTGGTTGCCTTTTGACCAGTTAAATGTGCATCTGGTACAGCTCTCTGCACGTAGAAGTTAGGTCTTTGAAGGAGTGAGCTGTGAATGCCTGGGAGGGAGCTGAGAAGTCAGGTAAACTTGGATAAAGTCTCTGTGCCCTGCGTTTTTTGATGGTGTGCTGTGCTGCTTTCTTTGTGCTTATTGATATTCTAAGTTGTCAGTGGTGCTATGTCAGCAGCAGAAACGTGAGCATAAATGAACGGAGTTTAGTGTTCTCGAGTTGAACGAAGTTATCGATATGCCTGGTAGCTGTGCACATGATAATTTGCCATATGTGATTAGCAATTCTCATAACTATTGTAATTACAATATTTCCTTAGCAAAAACATGCTTGACTTTTCTCTCCACCCTTTCTTTTTTTTTTGCCGTACGCGGGCCTCTCACTGTTGTGGCCTCTCCCATTGCGGAGCACAGGCTCCGGACGCGCAGGCTCAGCGGCCATGGCTCACGGGCCCAGCCGCTCCGCGGCATGTGGGATCTTCCCGGACCGGGGCACGAACCCGAGTCCCCTGCATCGGCAGGCGGACTCTCAACCACTAGTGCCACCAGGGAAGCCCTCCACCCTTTTTTTTTAACATATGTATTTGTAAACACATGTATACTTGTATTCATTTATTTATGGTTTTACTTATGTAAATGGCTTCACTCCTGGCAGATTTCGAGAGATTTTATTTGGTGCATTAAATTTAGTCTCACTTATTAGACATTTGTCCTAGAAGTATACTGGTAATTTAAAGTTTAGCAAAGATGATAATGCTGACCAACTACTAATAAGCGAGTGACTCTGTGGCATATAGAAAATGATTTTAATGGTAAATTAGAAAATTTTAAACATACATATATCTAGCTTTTCTATTTTTTGATGTAAATGTACGTTACAAAAAATATTAAACAGACAAATAATCAAGAATGACTTACAACCCTACTGTAGGGATAATCACAGTAACATTTTGACGTATTTCCTTTTGGTCTTTTTTCCCCTCAGCTTATATGAGTGCCTATTAAAAAATTGGAATTATATTGTGTATATAGTTGTGTGTGCTAGAAATCTTTTATACTTTAGGTGGCTCCTCTGAGTAATTATTTTACTATAGCATTTGATTTGTTTTATTAGTAGCTCTTTAAAAATTTTTTCAACTGTAGTCTTAATTGAAATTGAACTGTAGTTTTAAAAAATGCTTTTTCGGTCAGGTTTTGGTGTTACTGTTATACAGAATCATGTGGATCTGTACGAGTATATGTTCGTACTGTGAAGTGGGTTATGTAGATTAGGAATTATTTGAAATTTGAGAGCATTGATACATTGAAAGAGCTAATAAACTGCTCAGGTAATTAGCTTTACTTTCTTATTATGAAAAATTTCAAGCATGCTAAGAGTAGAGAGAATAGTACCATCACTTCCGTATATACCTGTCACCTAGATTTAACGGGTCATATTTTTCCATATTTGCCTCATCGCAGGTTTTGAGGTTGGTTGGTTTGTGTTTTGCTGATCTCAGGCAGCATGACCTTTCTCTCCTGTGCACTTCAGTGTGAGTCCCCTGATAAGGACGTTACGTACTCGACCACAGCCCCGTGACCACAGCTCAGAAAGTTCCAGTAATCCTTCAGTATCATTCAAGGCCCCAAATTCAAATTTCCCCAGTTACACTTACTTGGTTTGTCCAAACCAAGATCCACATAAGACCCAGACAGTTCATTTGTTTTTTTTTTTTCCAGTCTGTTAAGCCTCTTTTAAACTAGAACAGTCCTTTCACCTTTGCTACCCATCTTCGTTTTTTTCATGCTATTGATTTGTTGAAGACATGAGGCTGTTTGTCCTGTAGGATATCCCATATTCTGGATTTGACTCATTACTTCCTCATGGTGCCATTAGCTTATTTTACTCTCCATTGTATTGCTGGGACTTATCTGATTGGATACCAGTTAGGATTCAGTTTTGACCCTTGTGGCTACATGTGGTAGTGTGTGCTTCCGATCTTATCCCATCAGGAGACGTTAGTGTCTATTCCTCCTGGAGAGAGACCCTGGGGTGTATATATAGACACTGGCAGTGTGTATATAGATACACTTTTGAAATCTCTGCTTTTTGTGTTTTGTGGATTTTGGTTTGGCTTTCTCCTGAAGTTCTCTATTTCATTAAGATTTTCATGCCTTTTAGAATTGCATTATAATTGAAAAGTCATTAAAAATTCATTGTAATAGGCCCTTGTCGCCGGTTTCATTCACGCGTGTGTCCTACTTCTTTGTTTACGTTGATTCTTTAGTTATGCCTTTTCTGTGTTTTTAAAATTTGAAGTTTTCCTCTTTGATCTAGTAGTTTGTAGTGTATTTTTGTTTTTTAAAGTTAGTTTCTAGTCTAACTATAATTATGAAAAGAAAATGTGTTTCTTGATAGATACCAGTTTTCTGCAACTGCCTGTTCTCTTCAGGGCACACTGATTGGTGTATTATTATCAGTGCCTGATTAATTACTTATGTTATTTAGGTCTAGGTTATTTATAATAAACATGCCAGACAAATCTCCCTCTTTAATTTTGATTCTGTCAGTTTTTCTTTGTATGTAAAACATGTTTCCTTTGTAACTTTTGATGCTTGGATTCTCTTGATACTAATATTACACTGTAAGGTAATAATAATAGCTGCAAAACTGGGGCACTTCCCAGGACTACCGCAGGTTTGGTGATCAGCGGGAAGAACTCACAGTTGTGTACTCACAGTTGTGGTTTATTATAGCGAAGGGAGACAACTTAGCTCAGCCTGGGGAAGGGCATCTGGGGTGGGGCCAGGCGGTCCCACCCACAGGGAGCCCTGGTTGTCCTCTCAGGTGGAGTCATGTGGCACCGACCCTCCTGGTAGTGATGTGAGATGGTGGCGTGGAGTGTTGCACCCAAGCCTGGGTCTGGAGTTTTTATCGGGACTCTGTCACATAGACACGAGCTGACTCCCAACAGCTGACCTCCATCTCCAGTCCCTCTGCAGATCGAGCCAATGCCAAGTGACCAAAGCCCTTACCATAAACCACGTTGTCAGACTGTGCGGTGCAGCCCCATCACAGAAGATGCTTGAGGAGCTTAGAGGTGACCTTCCAGCAGCCGAGGGCAAAGGCCAACCCCCTCTTCGGGCAAGATTAAATTCTTTACTGTACAGGATTAACATTCCATACCCTTCTTTTTGTATGCATTTGCTTGATGATATTATGCATTAAGTTCCTTTTAACCTTGAGAAATTTTGATTTTGTTTCTCTCTTATAAGCAAGAAATGGTAGGATTTATATTCTTTTATGCCGTTCTGAGAGGTTCTGCCTTTTCATAGAAGAATTTAAGCCATGTACATTTATCATAAGTGAAACTTCTGTCCTTTTGTTCTGTAATTTTTTTTTTCATTTTTACCCCTGCTATATGGACCATATTGTTCGCAGATTTGGAAGAAATGGTCTTACATTTTGTTACAGGTTGTCTCTGACACCTGATGTGCATGACAACAGTTTGGCACATCTGCATTCCTCATGTGCTTTCCTTTTTTCTGGTCTTAATTTAATCTGAAGTCATAGACCCAGCTGCTTTTTTTTTACCTTTTCTATTTTATGATTCTGTTTCTAGATTTATTCTTGTCTTTTGCATTTAATTTCATATTTACCACAGTCACTTAAAATTTACCATTTATACACATACATTTCATTGGCTTTACTGTTTGTTGCCAGTTGTGTATGTGTCATCTTTCCTCTTCGGATTTTTTGTTTTGTAACTCTTGTGCGTTATCTGTTGAATTCCTGCATGCAGAAGTGTCTCTTGTTTTCATACAAGAGAATGACTCTTAAAACATTGATTCAGGGTCTTTTAGTGTCACAGAGAGGAAATCCTGAGCCAGAGTAATTCTTTATTACTTGTAGGTGACTTGTTTATTTTTCTCTCTGCCTAAATGCTTAAGATATATTTGTTTAGCCTTAAATTATTTAAAAAAAAAACCCAAAACAAAAAAAACACCTTTTCAGGGTATATTGGAATGTAGGTCTTGTTTTTATTCATTTTACCCAACACTTGATGAGCTTTTAGAGCCTGTAGACTCACACCTGCAGGCTTTGACACTTTTCTTTCACTCGGTCAGCTGTCACTCCCTGGGGTGTCTCTGAGAGGCTTCTTCCCCTGCTGCTTCCCTGCACGGTGCCCAGGGGAGGAGCCCTCTGCTAATTTCCCTCCCTCTCCTGCGTGCTGGGTGCTGGGAAATGGTGTTCTTAAACAGTCCTTTCCTTAAAGGGGTGTTGGAGGTGAGAACAGTAGGGGAGACTCTGTAGTCTTGAAGACTTGGGAAAAAGTCTGCAGGTGTGTCATGTCTGGGCCACCCTGTGTTACAGAGTTAGCTGGATAAATACCTTTCTCTGCCCTTTTGATATCAGCTGTGTTCTTCTCTTGACTGAGTGGACTTTTTTCATACACAGTCCAAGGATTTTTTTCAGTCCATCCCAGTCAGGTGTACAGTTTGCAGCAATTACCTTCTTGTATGGCTTTTATTTATCTTTAAGGTTTTATGCTGTTTTCTTTATTCCTTTGTGTACCATGAGTATTTTAATTAGAATTTGGCAAGAAGTGTGTCTGGCATAACTAATCTGCTAATGTTAACCTCGGTGTGTTCATTATTATAGTTTTTTCTTTACCATATCCTGCAAAAATATTCCCAGCACCGTACTTCCCTTTCCCGTGGCTGTCGCCCTGCTGTTCCCTTCCAGGCCTCAAAGCCTTGAAGCCCAGGTTCTCCCCCGTTGCGGTGGTGCCTGTGGGGCCTCCTTACAGGAAAGGCCAGCTGTTCCTCAGTCCCTCTGACCCTCACCTGGCCAATCATTTGTTTTAGTGGCAGGTCCAGCCCCATCAACTGCTCCTTGTGAGAACAGCTGTGGGCCTGGCCTTCTTTACCATATATGCTAGGTGAGGGGTCACCGAGGGAGGAGGCCCAGGCAGAGTGGCAGTGCGTACTGCTCAGAACACGCGTGGCCCTCCCTCCGTCCGTGCGTTGCTGCTGCTCCAGGAGCGGGTGCCACTCTGTTGAGGGGTGCAGATAACCTTGGCATGCGCTTATCCAGGACCCACTTTTCTAAGTGGGCTCCTTTGTACCTGCTAGTCTTCGAAGGAGTAGTGGGAATTATGTTGTTATTGTTTTCAGTATAACTGAGGAAGGAAAGAATTCATAGAGCACCCAACCAATTTAGATGTAATTTATGTATGATTTAGCCACTCTGATAAAAATTTGGTAGAGTAAGAAGTAGAGAACTAAATGTTTGAAAAGTTCTATATAAATCTGAGTTATTAATCTCACCCTAACCCTGCCTAGTGTCCTATCTTAGTATTATCCTCAGAGGTCGGCAACTCGACCAAGTTGGGCCACACCTGTCTTTGTACACGTCAGGAGATGAACATGCCTGTTTTTCAAGAGTTGTTTAAGAAAACAAGGGAGAAGAATGTGTGCTAGAGGCTCCCTGTGGCCCCCAAAGCCCTCAATATTTACAGTGTGTTTCTTACAAAAGTAGTTTGCCAGTCTCTGGTGTAGCCTGAAATGCCTGCAGCACCCAGGCCGGTCGCAGCATTCAGTGGTTAGAGCCTGCAGCTAGCTTGTGGATGGCCGTGTGCCTGACACTCCTGAGGGACTCCACCTGCACTCATGCCTTTCCTTAGTGCTCACCTAATAATGGCGTTATATAAATGCTTACATAAATATTATGAATTCTTAAATTGAAATTAGAAAATTCGATGTCCACATTCTTCTGTCAGAGTTCAGTAAAACAAATCATTTCTTTGAATCAGTAGGCAGTCTTTCTGTAACTGATTTTTCTTTGAGTAGAACTTGCACATACATACTTTTTTGTTTCCCAAATATAGATTTATGGTGTTCAACTGCTTCACATATTTAACTTTTAATACATGAGAAACTGTAACAAGCCTGTGACTGTGGACTGAGTTTTTTTTTTTTTTTGAGGTTTTCCTGCTTATCAAGGTCACAGTTTTTTGAAATTAATTACTTTATTTTTGGCTGTGTTGGGTCTTTGTCGCGGAGTGCGGGCTTTCTCGTTGTGGTGAGCGGGAGCTACTCTTCTTTGCGGTGCACGGGCATTTCATCGCGGTGGCGTCTCTTGTTGCGGAGCACAGGCTCTAGGCACGCGGGCTTCAGTAGTTGTGGCGTGAGGGCTCAGTAGTTGTGGCTCGCGGGCTCTAGAACGCAGGCTCAGTAGTTGTGGCGCAAGGGCTTAGTTGCTCCGCGGCATGTGGGATCTTCCCGGACCAGGGCTCGAACCCGTGTCCCCTGCATTGGCAGGTGGATTCTTAAGCACTGCGCCACCAGGGAAGCCCCCAAGTTGCTTATTGAGTTATACTATTTAAAAATGTTTTCAGAGAAAATAAAAGGTCAAGTGACCCAGACCTTGGGTTATTTGCATTCGTTTTCTGGAAAATAGGATTGCCTTTATCAGATCCTAGTGTCTCTGGGTCCTCATGCTGGCTGACAGCCTGACGGGTCTGCTGTGTGGAGATGGGCCCAGGAAGCCGCTTTGTGGCAGAACAGGGCTGTGAGCCATGCAGCAGCCTGGACCTGTGGAGTGGCAAGGGGCCTGTCAGTAGCAGAGAATGTGGCTGGGGACTCATTTAGTGCAGACTCTGACTTAGAAGCAGCATTCGAGCAGAAGCTCTCAGGTGTAACCTCTTAACTGCCACCGATGGACCGGGAGCGGTGACCACCTAATAACATGCCACGTGGCCACTGGCTCCCTTCCAGGCAGGACTGTCAGAAACACAGCAGCCTTTGCTCAGGAGCAGTGCGAACAGATGTGCTTGTTTGGAACATAGGCGTCCTTCTAGTTTCGCTTTTTAATATTTGGGCTTTTTTATCTCCGTTCCTTAAAGATAGGAAAGTTCTTTTCCATTTAACTTAATCAGTTCAAGGTATGTGGAAATGTTTTATGTCATCACATAATCCAAATTTAAAATATTAGGTGAATAACTTTCTTTTCATTCCTGAATCAACCAAGACAATTAAAAATACAGTAGTTGGTTTTTCCCCCAAATATATATATTTTTCTTCCTATGAATGTGTTTTTTTCAACAGAGAAGCAATATATTTTTAGAGTTCATGCAAAATTTGAGGTTGTTTTACAAAAAAGTATAAAAAAGGACAAGATTAAGAGTAGAAACTAATTAAAAGAAGTTGTCGATGTTCAAAGCTCATTTGACCCAGAATTCCCTAACCAGTGAGTCAAGGGAAACCAACTAAATTGTAATTGATTAAAGAAACACACATCAGTTTTGCTTAGACAGACTTTTTTTCCCTGTAAATCTGCCACTCCTGACTGGTGGGTCGAGGCAGAACCTGTCAGTTCCTTCTAAGGAGGAGTTTGAATGTTAGAGAAGAGCTCATGTCCTGGAGTGCTGCTGCCCTGGAGTCCTGCCGGGATGCTGGGGCGTGAGCTGTCCTGCAGCGGAGTGTGTGCTGGAGCATGTCCGGGGAAGGCACAGAATCCTGGCTGTCTCAGCAGCTGGTATTTTGGAAAGAAGTCTTGTATTTGCAACTGAATGCAGTTCCCCACTGACATGGTAGTTCTGTTGTTCCCAGTTTACAGATGTGGAAACAAAGGCTGAGGGGGTTTGGGTCACCTGTCCATGCAGTGTGGGCAGGATGTGGTGAAGCTTCTTGTCCTGGGATCACACCGCTTGAGCTCAAATTTGGGGTTTGGCTTTGTGACCTTGGTCAGCTTATTTAATTTTACTGAGCTGTGGTTTTCCCATCTATGAAACAGAAATAACATTAGAAGCTCATCATTGGCTTCTTACCAGATATGCATCGTGCGTTAGAAACTTATCATGGTGCTCTGCTTATGGTCATGTCTCGATAATATTTGCCTTGCTATTTTTATTACTTTTACTGTGTCACAGTTTTGCATTTGCAATTGTATTTGGAGATTTGTTTTGAAATTTTTCTTAATGAGTCACCTGAGCAAGCCTGATCTGCTGTTTAAAGCCTCCTCTCTTCAGTAGGTAAAAGTTTTTAAATATAAATTAACGCTTTCCTAATACTCTTTATCAGAGTCATTCAGATGTGCGTCGGTGTGAGCAAACAACTCCAGTGTAATTCGTACATCCACAAATTGACGTATTGGTAGATGTTACTAGATATTTCTTGAGAACCTCCAGGGAAATAATTACAGACTAAATAGAATATGTATAATATGTATTTTGCCATGTTAAATCCCAAGGCTGAAATTAAATATTTTGAGGTTGATAGATATCAAATAGTAGTATTTCTATTTTGTAGTTGGTGAAACTGAGAAATAGAATGACTTTCTTATGGCCAGATATCAAAGGTTATTTAAGCCTCACTTTTCGTTTTTAATTCAACCGTCTTTACCACTCAGCCTTGGTGATCAGATGACTAAGTACGTGTATTATGTACTATTTTAATAGCATTAAACTACCATGACTTAATACTGGTGTCTGCTGGTTACTTTGCAGAGTTTGTGCAGAGTTTTTGTGTGTTTGTGCTTCTTTCTAGCACTGAAAATATGACCATTTTTTATGCTGTTTAAAAATGTCATTTTGACGTAATGTTTTCCCACCCATTAAAATAGCCTATATTTTAACTAGATCCTTTTTTCTAGCCATCCATCAGAAACTAGAAGCGGATGGAACGGAAAAAGTTGAAGGATCCATGACGCAGAAACTGGAGAATGTTCTGCACAGTAAGTTTTGTCCTACTACCCAAAACTATTTATGGACTTCATAACAAGCTTTGATACAGCTCTTGGACCTGGTTTCACAGAACAAGGCAGTAAGTTGTATTTTAGTATTTATTTCTAAATAGTAGTGATTTAATGAACATAAAGGGAAATAAAAACATTGAAAATGAATGTTCTCTTTCTGTTTGCATTTATTTATGAGAACTAATCATTTGAAAGCAAGCCAGTGTACTTCTTAAAAAGTAAAATTTGTTACCATAAAGGAGGCCAGGATATAAATAGCATCATCAAAGATAGAAAAATGCTGCAGCAATAGCCAAGATTGTCATTGACCAAAACCTGAAAAAGCATCTTCAAGTACGTGCCATCGTCAATGCAAATAACATCAGCTACTAGAGTGACAGATACCGAGCTGCTGTCTATTTATTTGTGCCTTACCTTTTTCCAAAACAACTTTAAGGCAGCTGCATACTTGAGTGTTTCCAACTCTGAGACATTTTGCAGGAATTGTAGGCCAAGAGAAACGGATACATGCAATTTGAGGCCCTGTCCACCTCCCCTTCTTTTTTCTGACATCTGTACTTCCAGGTACTTATCCTACTGATTTAGAAGAAACTCATCAGATAAATCAATCCCTATGATAATATTAGTGGCTTAAAAGTAAATTATTCTCTTCCACGTATGTAGTAAAAACATTTGACAAGGAGCAGTAACGCCCAGGGGACTCTCCTAGTCTTTAAGTATAAGCATATATAGCATATGATTTCTCCAGGAAGTAGAGTAGGCTCGAGAATAACGGAAACATTTAAGAACCCCGGCATCGGCTCTTTAGTGATTCTATAAATGCAGGACTGTGGTAGCAAGTCAGTTTTGCACGTCTAGCTTAATTTAGTCCCATCAGCAAAAGTTTCTGAGCTTTTTTGTAAATATCTATTTGTCATTGACCAAAACCTGAAAAAGGTTTTGGTCAACGACAAATATCTAAACCTGGGGATAGCTCTAATAATAAAAGTGTTTCCTAGAAAGAAGCTTTAATTTGATATAGGCTTTCCTTGGTAGTAGAATTTGAGCACTTGGATTTCATCCCAAAATTTATGAGTTTAACAGCACTTTAAATGTTTTGGTCTCTGGTTGTTGGTATTGTTATCATCATCATCACCATTTTGCCTTGAGATTTTACCTCGTTCCTCTTCTCATCTGAGAACCAAGTCACCAGCTTTGTTCAAATGGCTATATTCTGAATTCAGCCCAAGTAAGCATTTACTAAAGCTATTTCTGTATTAACATAGACATTTTAAGGTCTTGGATGGATATTTTCTGTTTAGGGATGTTATTTTCCCTGGAGAAGTTGCCATCAAACCATGATATCTGTTTAAAAAAAAGATTATGTCAGTAACTTTTAAAAGGTGGCTTGTGAGAACAATCTGGCTTAGTAAGTATCTCATTGTATCAGTAGAAGAAAATGGATATTTGCTCAGGTTTGGAAAAAATCACGATCTGTTTCATGGGTGAGCCCTGGCGTAGTATGTTAATGTAATTTTTTTCTTTTCAGTAGTTTAGGTAATTCTCCTTTGGGACTTGTGGTATAAAATTTGTAAGGGAAATGATTTTACTTCTGTTCCTTTATAAGCACAAACTTTTTCTAGAAATGTGTCCTTTTACCTTTCTACTGAAATTTGCTCTTTTTTGGGTAAAGTTGGCTTAACGTGAATGTCACTCAGGACTTTCTGGGATAAAAATTTCCTGTAGATTATATTCCTTTGTAACAATCCATTTTTCCTAGAAACATTTTTGTGTCAACTGGGTGTTGATGTTTGCTATCTTAGGGTAAGTCGTGTTAGTTTAGGTCAGCTTGGCGAACATTTGTAAGACTGGTTGTGTCAAGTGCCGTGCTGGGTCCAGCGTCGAGTATGGAGCTGTGAGGGATGTGGCTGCCGCCCAACAAGCAGGTCCCCTGCCCTGACGGCGTGCCCAGGTCACCGATTCACCGATCTTCAGGAGCTGTACCGCTGGGGAACTGAAACAAATTTTGCAGGAGTGCAAATGTAGTCCGGTTTGCTTAAATTATATATTTTTTCTTTTTTTTGAATTTCTATTTCTCCATTTATTTATTTATTTATTTATTAGCATCTTTATTGGAGTATAATTGCTTTACAGTGGTGTGTTAGTTTCTGCTGTATAACAAAGTGAATCAGCTATACGTACACATATATCCCCATATCTCCTCCCTCTTGCATCTCCCTCCCACCCTCCCTATCCCACCCCTCTAGGTGGTCACAGAGCACCGAGCTGATCTCCCTGTGCTATGCGGCTGCTTCCCACTAGCATTTGGTCGTGTATATATGTCCATGCCACTCTCTCACTTCGTCCCAGCTTCCCCTTCCCCCTCCCCGTGTCCTCAAGTCCATTCTCTACATCTGCTTAGATTATATTAATGCTTTAATCTTGTGTATAATTACATACTAACTTATGTGCATTTTCCCTGAGTTATTTTAAATGAAAGTTTTTTAAATTTGGGCACCTTTTCCACTTTGTTTCTAAAGGGTGATGTTGACTAAGAAATTCAGTCCCTTTTGTTCAGAATTTATCAACGTTGAAGCCTTTCATTGAAATTCTTTTTTGTTTTCACTGATACATGTTTCTCATATTTGCCTTGGTATTTAATAATTCCTTCTTGATTTCAAGCCAGTGATGAAGTGATGGCTGTTAATTTCTATCAAATCCACATATCTCACTCTGTGTTGTTACCTGTTCCAAGAGCATAGAACAGCGCCGTCCAACAGAACTTCTGCCATGATGGAAATGTAGCTCTTGAGCACTTAAAATGGAACTAGTATTGCTGAGGAATTTAATTTTTATTCAATCTTAATAATTTGGCTTTAAGTCGAAGTAGCCCCGTGTGCCTGGCGTGGCTGGGCTAGGCAGGCAGGTGCGGGGAGGGACCCTGTGGTCTAGGTGTGTGTCGCCAGAGCTGGGACAGCTAGACCTCTGTGCCCCTCACTGGTGTCAGGGCTTGCTCCCACAGTCCACAGATGCTCAGCCCCCGCGGTAACCCCGGGAGGCTTATGCTGTAACCCGCATTTTTATTGACGAAAAACTGAGGCTCAGAAGGATTGAACGCGTTACCTAAAGTCACATCAGCAGTAAGTGGCAGAGCTGGGATCTGTGTCTGTGCATCTGGCTCTGAGACTGCGCTTTAAACTACAGACTGCCTTGCTGGTTTGGGATGCGTGGGTTTCAGTGACCAGTGTTCTTGCCACGTTGCATCAAGCACACACCTGGTTGCTAGCTCTGCGGTCCACTGAACGTTCAGCAGTAACATGCCCAGCTGCTCTTCCTGCAGAGTCGGGGGACCCACTGCAGACGCTTTGCCAGGCCCTGCTCAGACAGCAGAGTGTGCCCGTGGGCAGCCTCCTTGTCTCCCAGAGAGAAGCTTGCAGACATTTCACAGACATGGAGACTCAGAAGGGGAAGTTGGCCCACAGAGATGAAAGTGCATCAGAAAAGGGAAAGTGATGACAGTGTGAGTGGAATTCAAATCCAGCGCGACTTGGGTTGTAGAAGTGGCTGTGGTGGGGTGTGGATACTGGGAGGCCCGAGGAGCTCAGTGAGGGTGGACTTCCCCACCGAAGCCAGGAAGGTGTGACGAGGAGGTAAGGCTGTCCCAGAGGGAGTGAGGCCAACGGAGCGCTCAGAGCTGACCCGTGAAGCTGGAATTACAGCAGACAGACGTGGAAACGAGCGTCATTGTTTGTCAGAGCGCAGAAAAGATGCTTGATACGTGCTGTAAACTTTATGACAAGAAGAGGCGGGCTATCTTGATGATATATTTTACAAAGAAATTAAACACTTGAATTTTCAGTTCCTAACGTTTTTTATTATAGTGTGCTAAATAAAAATTAGTTTTACTGTTTTTTCATTTTCTTATTGATCTATAACCAACAGTAAGCAAGTTTTCAATGTTTCAGCAAAAATTTTCTAAGTCACAGAACAAGCGTCGTTTTCACGTTGATTATTAGGATTGCTTGCTCTGCTCGGTTCAGCTGCCCGATCACTGACGTGGTCCTGCACATGGGCCCTGTGCTGTCCCTCCCTCAGGGGACAGAGTCCTGGGCACTGGTTCTGAGGCTGGTTTCTGGCACTTGCCCTGTAAGCGTTTATTGAGCGCTCTTATTCCTCTTCAGGGACAGGAGGATGAAACTTGTGCTTTGCTTCCGAGAGTTTATAATCCAGTGAAAAAGTAGGACCAGATAGGCAGGGGATTAAATTGTGGTGTGACAGTGCTCTGCTGGTAGGGGTCCCGGAGCCCCGATGGAGAGAGGACGGGGGAGGGCTGCGAGCCTCAGGAGAGGAGGGGGACAGGCCAGGCAGGCTGACATTGGCCGGTGGGCACTAAGTGGGCCCAGGTGCATCCCGGGCGGGGCAGGCCACATGAGGAAGAAGGCGCTGACCTCAGGGGAGATGGCTGTGGGCCATGAAGCAGGACCGAGTACCCTGGGGTGCAGACGTGAGGGCTGAGGCTGCCGGGTCGAGGGGTCTGCTCATGACAAGCTCTCTGTGCGGCGTTGTGGAGTTTGTCTTTATCTTGAGACTACTGGTGAGCCGTGGGAGGATTTTACATAAGGAATTCACATGGTGAACTTTTAAAAAAACATTCTGTCATCTGTCCAGAGAATGCACTGGAGGGAGCTGGATAGAGACCAGAAGAGAAACCGGTAGAAGTGTGCACTGGTGACGTGACAGCGGTTTGTAGGACCCCAGCGTCAGGCCTGGCTGGGAACAAGCACTAGGTGACTCAGGTAGTGACCTTGTTCATGTAATGTCGCCCTGTAATGTCAGATAGCTGCCTGTCTGGCCGTTTTCTGGAGTCTGTTAAGAGAAACGAGACACACAGCAGGTTGTTCAGTCTCTTTGTGTCCTGGTTTTGCTATGAATTTAAGTATACGTTGAAAAGTTACCTTAAATTTCATTCAGCTTTATTGCTTTATTGTGTCGTGGGTGTGTAGGGGGAAGCCTCCTCCCATCCCCCCCCCCAGCTCCCATCAAGCAGAGACGCAGGTTATACATCACCCGTACTGTCCTCTGTGCTGGGTGCCAGTGCCATGAAAAGGGGCCAGAGAGAGCTTCGTGTTTACTTTAATAAACATGCTTGAAATGACCAGGCGCCATCAGAAGTACATGACTAGCTTTTGTGGATGACGGGTTCCTGGCACAGTTACAGTGTTTTTCCATCTTTGAGGGCAGGTATGAGTTTGATTGGTCAGTGGGCAGTACTGCAGTGACTTGTCATCCCATCTTATTCTCCAGCTCTGCTGAGATAATAGTTGACACAGGACATTGTGCAAGTTTAAGGTGCGCGGTGTGATGGTTAGATACCTGTCTGTGATGCCGCGTGTTCACCTCACCCCCACCCCCGCCAGCGCTGTCACCACACGTAATTCCATTTGTTTGTGATGAGAATGTTTGAGATTTCCTCTTGAAGCCACTTTCAGGCTACAGTACAGCATTGTTAGCTCTGTTTCCGATGCTGTGCATCACATCCTCAGAGCGCATCCATCTCCCCGAGGCCCCAGCCCGGCCTGCTTACAAGAGCTCGGCTTTTCAGGCTCCACGTGTAAGTGGAGCCACTCAGGGTCTGTCTTCCTGTGACTGCACGTGGCGTGGAGCCCTCCAGGTCCATCCGCATCTCCCTGTCTCATGCTGAGGAAAATATCACTGCCCTGCCAGCCCAGCTGAGGCCAGTGTCATTGCTGTCAGTGCAGGGGGGGCATCCATCCCCCAGACCATGATGCAGTGTCCCTGCGGGGGGAAGGGGACAGCCTTCAGCCTGCACGTGCCCAGGGCTGCTCGTGGGCTGGCGCAAGTGGCCTTCAGGGCGGCCCTGCCTCCGCTCGTGGGGCCAGCGCGCCCTTCTCTCAGCTGCCCTCAGGTGTGGCTGGTGAGCTGCTGCTGCTTTTTTATCCACTTGCACAAATCTCGGTTTCCCTGCTTTCATGTTTCGTTTCTTACTGCCTATAATCATCCAGTTATCAGAGCTATGAACTCCCAGAATTTTATTGTGAATGCAGTAAAGTTTGCAACAGAATAATTTATGGACAGAAATTATCTATAAATTAAAATCATAATTTCATGACTTAAAATTTGTACGTAACTTAGAATTCTCTATATGTATACATTTTTGTGTAACTAAATTAAATTTTAATTTTATAGTTTATAATTTCTGCCTATAAGTTTTTCTGTATTAAATATTTATATTTTATTTAATTTTAAGCAGATTTTCTACCTGTGCTTGTTATAACTTTTAAGGGAGTTTCAAATTATTAGTTTGTATTTTTTTATTGTCTTTAAAATAAGATGAAAAAAAATCTAGTTTTGATATTTTGTACTCCTTCATTGTAGAGAAAGTGCTTGGGGATTTAACATCCGCAGTGCACACATAAGTAATCAACCTTTAAAAATATTCAGTCCCCATTCACGTATCTAATTCATTCATGAAGCCTCAATTTGTGAAGTTTATTTCTAAATGATAAACAAATGCTTAATATTAATTTTCTTCCAAGAAAAATACTTTTAACCGTAATCACATTTCCAGTATTCATTTAGTCATCATTATATGGTTTGGTGGCAAGAAGGGAATATATTTTTTTCTCAGAGTAGAAATTTAGTATTCTACATTAAATAGCAGGTGGTGAAAATAGCTGTCCTGACAAAACAAAGTTTTTATACCAGGCCTTTAAAATTTCAACAGAATTTAAACATTATTTAGATAAAACAATTATGTTACAAAGATGACTTTTAACACACTCAGGCCACCCACAGTGTGGACCAGAGAATGCGGCATGCCAGCCACCCAGCGAGACTGAGGTCGTTTTTTTTCATCTTTGCTTAAAGTATAGTCACTAGACCAGATAATGTAGAAACTTTTTATGAGCAGTGGTCAAACAGCCAAAAAAAGTTTATCCTTTTTCTTCCCTTTCCTTGTGACTAATTAAAAATAATTCACAAGTTGAAAAAGCTTAACTATTTTTGTACGCGGTAAATTTTGTCTTTAGATAAAGAAACTCCTTCATACAGTGATTCATAGAGTTTGAGGTCTTTAAGGTAAAAAAAATACATATATATAGAATGTCCAGTCTGTGTATCATTTTAAGAAATATTAAGCTGATTTAAGAAATATTCATTAATAGTGGTGTGTTAAAGTTTGACATTTTAAATTGCTTATATCATTTTTTGTGCCTGCTACATAATTAGATAATTTTATGTAGAAGTAGGATTAGGTCTAAAATATTTCTTTTGAACAACTTTTCTGAAAAATTTTTTCCGTTTTTTTTTATTACTATGGATCTGTAAATATTGAATCCAGAGAATTTAACTAGTGTACTTGTGTGTGCACGTGTGTATGTGTTTGGGTTTTAACCTGTTGTCTGAATTAATGAAATAACCTAAGGTTCCATAATGCTGTAAAACTTAAAAGAAGCTAAAATAAACGTAGATTGACATTAGACAATTTATTTGGGCCCGGTAAGTATGGTTATTCTTAATTGGATACCATTAACTGGTATACACATATGAAAAGACTTCAGAGGCAAAAAGGAAATTGTATTTTAGCAAATCGTAAAAAAAAAACTCCAATATAGCTGACTTTTAGAAAAGTCTACTGAGTTTTAATATTACGTGTAATAGCAGTCTAACATTTTATTTCTTTTGTCCAGTGACACATTTTCTGATTAAAATTAGTTTTTATCTAAGTTTCTTTTTGTCCTTTTAAAATAGGAGCAAGTAACACTGCGGACACATTGTTTCAAGAAGTCTTGGGTCGTAAGGACAAGGCGGATTCCACTAGAAATGCGCTCAATGTGCTGCAGCGATTTAAGTTTCTCTTCAACCTTCCTCTAAGTATTGAAAGGAATATCCAAAAGGTAGAGTGCATATTTATGTACCTATGGTCATAGATGTCATAAATTTTAAAGAGTTGTTAAGATGTTTTTTATCTTAACCAAATGTCTTCATTAAACTTTACTGACAGTCTCCAAAATGTTTCTTTATTTTAAAGGGTGATTATGATGTGGTTATTAATGATTATGAAAAGGCCAAGTCACTTTTTGGGAAAACGGAGGTGCAAGTTTTCAAGAAATGTAAGATTTGTTTATTACTTTTAGATTTTCTACTTTGCTTTTACAGGAAGAATGTGGAATGTAGTCTGCAAAGAATGTTACATTCGTTTTAGTTTTTGTTTATATGGTGCCCTTTCTCAGGTGTAAGACAGTTACTTCAGAAGTAACAGGATGGCTTTTCTTACTAAGATGGAGTGAAAACTGTAGGATAGGTTAGTCTTGAACATTCTTTGCTGCTTGTTAATCATGTTGCTATTTAAAGTCTTTTCTTCTGGAAAGAATCAATTATAGATATTTTACAGAAACATAAATCTACATTTTAATCTTCCCTCTTCAGAAAGACCAATATATTTATGAATTCTAACCCTACTTTAAAGTAAACTAAACAACTTTTGAAATTATCTCTAAGGCTAGAGTTACAGAAAGTAAGAAAAGCCTAAAATGCTTTATGGTCATGCCTTATTAACTGGGAGAAATATCACAAGGCTTGATTAAATTTGTAAATAATTTTATTTTTATTGTGGTAAATTTACATGCAGTGATATGCACAGGCTTACATGTTGCAGCTCAGTGAGTTTGACAAATACCCACGCCCATGGAACCCACACCCTGGAGAGATCGTTTTCATCACTCCGGAAATTTCCCTCTTGCCTCTTCTCAGTCGCCCCTCTACCCCAAGGCAGCCACTGTTCTGCTTTCCGTAATTGGATTTTAAATTTTCATTCTGTAAGTCGTGTAATTCTTTCCTTTTTAAACAGATTATGCTGAAGTAGAAACACGGATTGAAGCTTTAAGAGAATTACTTCTGGATAAGTTGCTTGAGACACCATCGACCTTACATGACCAAAAACGTTATATAAGGTAAACCTTCTGCAAGAATTTTGACAAATCACATGTGTCTGGATAGTGCTGCATACATCATGTAACTCTTAAAGCTGATTTGGGGGAAATTGGGAGACTGATGAAACGGTAAAAGGGAAGACAAGTAGCAGAAATTTAGGGATACCTAGTGTAGGACACCAAAATTCTTTTGTGTACTCAAAAATTTGGGAGCTCTCACTCTTTAAAGGCAAGGAAATCCTGCCGGTTTGGAGAAAGGAAAAGTAGCCTCATTGCACCCCTCCTCCCGTCCCCAGCATCTTCCCCAGCCTGGGGTTGTGGGGCGCTCCCCGTGGGCCCCCGCAGGTGGGGACTCCCTGACTGGCTTCGAGGGTGGCACTGTCCCACAGGCGGGAGGGTGTCTGGTGCCCCGAGAGTGGCCGGGGCTCAGCAGCAGAGAAAATTCTGAAAGCAGTCTTGAAAAGGAAGTGGGAGGGCTTACGTGAAAAAGACAGCAGTAACAGCAAAAGCCATGGACACCACAGCATAGAGGGAACCATGTTGCCCGAGAGGGAGGGGCTTCAGCAGGCGCAGGGGCGCTGGAACTGCTGACTGCCCCCCCCCAAACAAGCCTGTGCAGCTGTGTCTGAGCCTCACAGCCACCATGCGGTGTCTGCATCACACCTGGCGCGCAGGTGAGGACCTGGGACTCAGAGCGGTCGCTGCTCAGCACGCACCGCCACAGGCCTCCCTGTCTGTCTGGCTTCACAGCCTGTCTTTGCTTTTCTCTAAGTGCCCCCAGAGGAAAGAATGCATTTCGGAGATTTTTCTGGCCTGTAGAATCATAGAAATCTAATGCTGCGAATAAACTGCACGTTAGTTATCCAACCGCCTTTTTTTTTTTTTTTTAACATGTAAAGTAACAGAGTTACAGGAAGGTTAATCTCTCATGTAGGAAACATAGCTGGTTAGCATCTTGTCTGTGTTCTGCTGTGTTGCTTCACTAATCGGGCTTTGTGTCTATTTACCTGTTTACACTTATTCTTTTTCATTTGCTGATAGTCACACGCTAAACCTTATTGAGTGCAGGATTTCTTTGTGTAGCGAATTACCATTTATGTAGATTACTCATGTCCAGTTCCTGTGACTGGTTAACCTACTGGATACCATTTAAAAGATGGTGGGTGTTAAAAAAGATTCTTTAAAATGGCCTATTTTCCCTGTCATTTTAAAGGGAAAAGAACAAGAATGTCACTGAGAATGTCAAGTCATTTACTTATTTTTTAATCATTATGTTATTTTTGATACTTTGAGAAGATACTGAGCAATTTTATCATCTTCTTAAATTATGGGTTTCATTATTAATGAATAGGAAAAACAACATCACAACCAGGCCAAATACCTGTTGGACTTTGGAATCTATGGTGCACAGTCCTTTGAGCACCAAGTGGGGGTGAGACTCTCAACTTTATCATCAGCAACACTCCATCTTTTAGCTCTCACGTAACCAGGTTGCACAGGGAATGAGCGAGTCAGATTGCCCCTGTGTTGTTGTGCTGTGGTTCACTGCTGTATCTACCTAAAGACATCCTGATTCTTTTCACTCTCCTTACTCTGGTGAGGCTAGTAGCTCAAGTAAGAAGCAAAGTACCACATACTTCTTCCATGCCAGTGTGATTCTTTCTGTCCTTGGTAATTGTTAAAAATCATGTTCGAGTATGGCTAAAGACTTTAATTCTTAAATTTTAAAATTTTGAGCCTATGCTCATCATAATTAACATTTCTTACCTTCTGCCCTCTAAAAATGTTTTTTAAAAAGTGTTCTCGGATAACACGTATTTAAAAGAAATAACAATAACCTGTATCATATGCTAAGCCAAGATGTTTGAAATGAAACTACATACTAAAAGAAAAGAAGACGCTCATTGGATTAAGTCATTTAACCAAGGAAGAGCCTAGCACAAGTTGTGCTTTTGAACTGAGACACTGCAGAGTTTCTGAGACAAGAAATTTATCTTTCTTTATAAAACTCTTTTATGTAATACCCATTAGCAAGATGATAGAAAGAGGATTATTATTAAATTTTGGGAGGACCTAGTCAGCATTCTAAAAAGACATAATCTGAGAAGATGCTGAGCAGAAAGGCATGTTGATCTTGCTGTGCTGCTCGAGAGCGAGCCCTGTGACGGCCCCTCTGTGTGCTGCTGGTGGTGTGTGCACACAGAGGGAGGGAAGCCGCCCTCCGACAGGGACGGTGCCGTATTTACTGCTGCTGCCGATCTGAGGTTGCTGTTGAGTGCCAGCGTCAGGAGGTGCAGCAGGACCTGTCTGAGGGCACCTCCGGCAGACAGTCCCTCCCTGGCAGGAAGGGTGGAAGCTCACGTTTTGGGGAAAGAAATGACACAATGTACTATTTGTCATATTTACATTCCAGAGGATAGAAGAGGAAAGCCTGTGTGAGGGGAAGACTCAGATTAGGTTTTGAAGGCTTTGCTGAACGTCACCTGTTAGATCCTCCTGGGGATGCTGGTAATTGATTTGCCAGACTCTCAGCACAGCCAGCCTCCTGGCCCCTATAAATAAAGGGTCATGGCTCGGGTAGGAGAGGAGCCCGCACCGGACACCCCGCTGTCTTCGGAAACCATTCTTCCCTGTTAGCCCGTGGAGGTCAGGGGAGGTGGGTCGTTCCTGAATGTGATGTCAGGTTTCTTCTCAGTGTTTTATTTGCCACTAACTTGTTTCTCCTCTAATTAGCCGCTAAGTAAGGAAATACTCAGTATTGCAGAAGCTGGGGAGAGAAGCCCAGGTGTGTCGCTGCGTGTTTAGAGGTCACAGCTTGTCACCATTAATTAAAATTTATTCTTGAACAAAACTTTTAACCCCAAGACAACAGACAGCTTAGGGTTTAAGAGTTATTTTAAGACAATAAGTCCAGCTTTTGAGGTTGATTTAATTGGATTTAACTTGTTACATTTATATATTTCATGAGGGCCAAGTTTTTAATGATATTTGGCAGAAATTTTTCAAGTTGTCTATCTGGGTTTGGAATTTTTACAGAGAAAGAAGACTTTAAATATTTTAAGAACTATTTAAAAACTAAGAAAAATGCCCATCTATACTGTATTTTCTAGAGAAATATCTTCTCATGAATTAGAGTTTAGACTTAGAAGTCAGTGCTTGCTGTCACCAAATCTCTTTGTGTAATAGTGTTGCCCTGTTTGGATCCTGCAGAAAAAAGGGTCACACTGCCACCTCGTGGCCGTATTTCAGACCAGAACGGAATGAAGAAATATTCACACTGAGGCCTCTGCTGGCTCTCACCTGTTTTCTGTGTGACTGAGAACTAAGTAGAAACACTCTGTGAACAAAATGTAACCATAAAGATACGCTCTCACTGGGCGTTATAGGGGCATTGCAAGTTGTCTTTGTCTCCTTGGTTGTATTTTTATAAAGTCCTAACTTCTTAAAGTGTAGGTTTATTGTTTGTTAATTGCCTGAAAAGAAATCTGAATATATTTCATTTAGAACTGAATATTAAAGACTAGTATTGACGAATGCTTTACTAATTGACAAAGTTTTAGGTTTTCTTAAAAGTGATGACTTTAAGATATGCTAGCTTTCCTCTTGTCCTCATTATGGCTGTGCAGCAGAAGCTGACTGGGTCAGCCTTGGCCTTGCTGTTTCAGGTACCTGTCTGACCTCCACGCGCCAGGCGACCCTGCGTGGCAGTGCATCGGAGCCCAGCACCGATGGATCCTCCAGCTCATGCACAGCTGCCAGGAGGGCTGCGTGCGGGACCTCAAAGGCAAGACCCTTTCTCCCTGCATGAGTCCTCCCCCTCGTCACTCGACACACTCTGGGAATGCTCTATATTGAGGGATGAGTCGTTCCCTTTGTAACTATACCTGCCCCCCACCCCGGTTAGCATCCTCCCTGGGCGAGTAAGAGAGCAGGGGAGGGGGAAAGCCCTCTCAGCATGCCTGTCTCATGGCTGACTGGCAGTGTTGACAGAAGTTCGGCTTACAGAACAGTTACCTCTTGTGGAAGCGACATGATGTTGTAGAAATGATACTAGTCTTGATCAACAGGAACAGTACACTCACTATTCCATCAAGTGCATGTTGAGCCCTGCTGCGCACCAGGCACCATGCCAAGTCCAGGTGCACGGACGCAGTCCCAGCCCTCATGGAGCTCAACTAACCAAGTACCAGGTTGTGACTGGTAGATGGCAGGTTTGGGGACGTGCCTTAGACAGGACTCTGTGTTAGCAGAGAACCTAGAGGATGAGGAATGCCTGCCGGGCCGCCTCCAGCACAGGCCCTGAGGAGAGTGGAGGAAGAGTCACAGCTGGTTCACAACCAGCACAGTGGCAGGACTTGAGGCCGGGTGAGGAGGCCCCGGGCCTGGATGGACTTCGTCCAGGGGTTCGAAGCCTGGGAAAGACCCGATGAGACGGGGACAGTGGAGCCGGTTAGGAGGCTGCTGTGGTGATTCAGGCATCTCGCCGGCACGGGGGCCGTGGGTGTGGAGGAGGAGGGGGTTCGAGAGCTGTCCGGAACCTGCGATCGACAGGACCTGGTGATGGAAGGAGGGGTAAGAGGGGCTCGGTGATGCCCAGAGGTCTGACCTTGGCAGCTGGTGGGGATGGGGCACCGTGGGGTTGGGGCGAGGAGGAGAAGACGGTCTTCCCTTTTCTTTGGACCGGTTGGTGTGCGGCTGTCTGACGAACAAGTGGAGGCGTCCAGTAGGTAACTGAATTTAAAGAGCGAGAGGTTTGGGTGTGCTCTGCACGTAGATGGTCCCTGGGAGTTGACATATTCACCCAAGAAGGAGAAAAAGGAAGGAAATGTAGGAATGTAGGACAGAGTCCTAGGGAGTGCTCTTTACAGCACTGGTGGAGGAGAAACCTGCAGGGTGGCCAGGGAGCCGGGAGGGAAAGGAGGGTCAGCAAGGGTTTTAAGGTGAAGAGTCCGATAAAGGGGTGTCCTTTAGATTTTGTGCTGAGGCTGTTGGTGACCTTGGCAAATGCAGTTTCAGTGGCCTGAGACACCAAATAGATTGTATAAATAAGGCACAGCGATTCCTACAAGGTTTCCGGACGAGAAAGTAAAGTAACATGAGAGCAGTCCTGGCACAGAAGGAGGTGCCACAGAGAGGCCATGATTATTTATATATAGTTTAGTTTTGTCGTGAATTAGGTGGCTTGGAGTTGAGTATTTTCCGGCTATGAGTCTGTTCTTTTCTATTGTTGATGTTTAGGAAAACCCAAATATCTCTTCACTGATGCCATATCTAAATTTCTAGTATGTCATTAGTTATTTTACAGTTTTAGCAAGTGAAAATGACATCAAACAACATATGCACAGTCTGAGGTCGTTGGGGGATATTTAGAGGTCCTCAGGTTCTCGTGTACTGAGTCTGCTCTGTTGGGCAGGACTCTTGACGTGGCTGCCCGTCACAACCCACTGGGTTTTTTTAAAGACTGTCACTTCCCAGCATCCTCCCCATTCCTGACCATTATATTAGACTCTCTAGCAGTGGAGTCCACGCAGCAGTATTTTTTAAAGCTCCCAGGAGACTGTGGTGCAGCCGGGGCTGGTAATCAGTGTGGTGGATGTGCTCTCGGGACTGAAGAGCCGTGATGAGCAAGACCCACATGGTCTCTGGCCTCTTGGAGCTTGTAGTCTAGTGAGAGAGACCTATGTCTTTAAACAATTCACATGTTGTTTATTACGTAAGTGTACTTGTGAAAGGTATTGCGAAGTGGGGAGTGCAGAACTCTGCCTCAGTCTCGTTAGCGGGAGGCCCAAGGAAGTTTCCTAGAGGAGGTGTTGTTGCCACTGAACCTAAATGAGGGATGTGAGTTTTCCAGGGAAAGAGCCACAGAGAAGTAGTCCAGAGACCCAGTAGGTGCTCAGTAAGTGCCACCCTTCCCCTCTCCAGTGAAGAGGCTGTAAATACAGTGATACAAACAGGATCACGGTCTGACAAACGTTTTCCCTACTCAGGCTTATAAGAAACAATCCAACTGTATGATTTAGTTCTGAAAATATTTGAATTTCTGGAAAGCATGTGTCATTTATGAAGACAGCATATAGACCATTTGAAATTGGAGAAGTGCCAGGAAAATTCATATGCCTTATTGTCACACCCATACCTGAAGGATCTAATAACCGATATTCCATCACTAAAGGTCTGAATCTTTCTTGAAGATAAATAGAGACACACCCTTACCTAATGGATTCCTGCCCTGCCATCTTGGTGTTATGTATTGCTATATGTATTTATCCAAAACTGCTGAAAATCAGCATTTCTGGAAGAAAAAAAAAAGACACTAGCTTCTGTGTAACTGGAGACCTGCCTTTTTATTCACTCTGACCAAGCCTGTTGTAGAAGTTGCCGCTCGCATATGAAGTACTTGGAGGAATGTGCATTACATGGATCCTTTTGTTAGTGATGAGGTTTACCTAAAGTTATTTTCATAAGTTGGTCTTTAAAATTAGGAAGTGAAACATAACAGTTTACGACTCTTTGAACTTACTCCACAGATTTTGTGACAATACAATGTAAATTTCCTAAATTCATTAGTCAGATGTTTATAGGTTAGGATTTAATCGTCCTTGACATTCAGAGGAACATCCTGAGCCGTGCCCACCTGTTGTCGGCAAACACGACTAATATGAACAGTATAGACAGTCCCAACAGATAACTGTCTTTCAGTTGGAAAGTTGGTGTGTTCTTTTGAGCTCACCATCAGAAGGAGTTCTTATTATTTTATTTTGGAGAATTCCAAACATACTTAAGAGCACCAAAGGTGATACCACAACCTCCCGTGTACCTGCCTAGTTTTGACAGTTATCCCCTCACAGCCAGTCTCGTTTTATCTACACCGCCTCCCTCACCCTGAATTATTTTGGAAGCAGGTCACATTATTTCATCCATAATTATTTCAGTATGTAATTTTCAAAGGTAAAGATGCTTTGTGAAAACTGTAACTAAAATACTATTATCATTACCTGAAATGTGGTTTCTTAATATCAAGTATTCAGTTAATTGTCAAATTCAAAAGCAGTTTAATACCTCCAGTATCTTTTTAAGTACACGGATACTATGTACTTAATGTGGCTTTTTAATCGATAGCCAGTGCAAAGGCAGATGATACGAGAAGTGACACAGATGGAGACAGAACTTGTGTTTCCTAGAAGAATTAGCCGTGGTGACATAGTGTCCACTTTGGCCACTTGGCACCTAGATGCCTTCCTGGTTGTTGTCATCAGAGTGTGCGTATGTCAGTGGACACGCCAGCTCTTTACTGTGCACCTGCCTACCCGTGTACAGGTAATGTCATTATATAGCATAGGCATGTGCATGTGTGGGTGTGTTTATGTAAGATATTGGCCTTAATTATACGTTTGCTGGGAATAAGTACAATTTTTCTTTCATGTAATCTACACCCGATTGTTCCCGATAGACTCCTAATTGATATTTATGAGCGTCCTAGTTAGGTGTAATAGAAATGCAGTCAGTATGAGGGCAAGTCTCCTAAACATCATTTGGACTTTCTGTTGGCCATCCTCTCGTAATCACAACATTTTGGGTCTGGAAGAAACCTGGGAAGTTGTCTGGTTTGGTACATGACTTGGATCTGTTTTGCACGTGAGGAAGCTGCCTCAGAGAAGCCAGGTGACGGACAGCCCAGCTTCTCCGTGTCCTGCATGGTGGTTCCACAGACCTCTCTGTGTTCTGTGGTTGAAGATAATATTTCATGAAGTGTGTTTCTGAACATGGTGACGGATGGCACGATGATGGCAGTGCCTTTTTGTGAAGCTGCATTGCTTTCATTCAGGTCTTCTCCAGAACCTATTTTCAAAATGAAAGCTTGTTGCATTCTAAATCTAAAGAATGAATTGTAAGTTCTTCTATTTGTTAACACCTGTACTTGGACTTTTAACACCAGAGAAATGCTTGTAACTGATTGATAACCCAGTCTTGTGAGGTGAAATACGATTTTAAAAAGATAGACTGTAAATATTTTAGACAGGAAAAGACTTCTTTGTGTCTTTGTAAGTAAAGCTGGTTTTTATGCATGAATTTAAGAAACCTAATTAACATACAAGTTTTTTTTTTTTTTTTAAGTCTTTACATGGTGCTTTGGGTTAAAATGTTAATTGTATTTAGTCTTGTGGTCTTCAAGAAAAGTTCATGAGCCAAGATGGTGATAGATTTTCAGAGACAGCAGTCCTACATAAAAAAGCCACATTTGTCCAGGTTACATTCTTCTGTATATGAAGCATTCATTGGTCAGCAGCATTCATTGGGTCATAGGGTTGATATTTTTATAAACACTGCATTAGAGCCTTCTCTGGATTCCAATTTTTATAATAATAACGCATACGAACCTGGTAGATGGTGCCCCTAGATGTTGCACACCAGGACACAGACAGGAGATGAGCATTACGCCTCAACACACCCTGCCAAGTATCCGGGAGTTCCTCACTCCGCTTCCGCGGCCTCCTCTGTAGCCCAAATGTGATCTTTCTGTTTTTCTAAGGGGAGACAAATAGGAGGAAAAAAACAAGAATAAAGATCAACATTAAAAAAAAAATTCATCTTGAAAGCATAAACACCTATGGAAGGGTCTGTTTTCTTCCAGCTTGAGCTAGTCAACTCTACAGCTTCTCTTCCAAAACTTTTACTGCCTTATAAGAAGTGTCATTTGTCTCTTAAAATTTCTGTGAAATAGGGCCAAAATTAGACTAAATCTTCAGGTTTCCTGTCAGGAAAAGCCTTTGGTTTAACCCCCTA